AAACATCAAGAATTTATTTTCCTTAAAAATATAGAAATTTTTGAAAGTAGAAAAATATTTTCCCGAGGAAATTTTGCTTATCAAACACTACAAAAGTTGGAAAATGAAAAAAAAAATTCCATATTTCATGGAAAATGTGTGCTATCAAACGGGGCCTAATATAAATAAAGGTAAATAAAAAAAAAAATCGTCAATTCTGAATCAAATTGAAACAATTGATTTGGGTCCACGTGGAACAATAGCGTATCGGTTTTTTGAATTGGAGCAAACCATTTAGAGATGGTTAATTTAAGTTTGGAGTGTTAAAAATCATTTGAAATTGAATTAAACCGTTTCTAAACTATTAAAAAAATATACACGACAATTTTAAACATTGAGGCATTAATCTGTTGGTGTATACCATGATCACTTGGAGTATTAGTCCCTTTTTTTTCCCATGTTGTAATCCTCCGTTTCATTTGGATAAAAAGGGTGGTTATATTTAAGAGTTTATCAGACTTGGGTTAATGTTTTGGAGTAATTTTATATTGATTTTTGGTGCTTCTTTGTGCGTTAAGACAAAACTCCAACCTCGGGGTGCGTTGGTGATACGGAAGAGAAAAATGAGAAGAAACGAGATGTTTTGAAGTAAGAAAGTGTTGAGATATATACTCAAATGTATCAATTGACATAATGTTTTGAACAAATAAATATTAATTTATGCTATTTGAATATTTTTATAAATATTAATTGAAGTCACCAATATATGTCCTAGAAACCTTGATCCATAGTCCGACAAAATCTTTCTACGTACACTAAAAAGTAGCCTCTAATGCTAATACATAATTTCTACATGTAAGAATTACATTTCAAAACTAACAAACTTTTCAAATTATTTCAAAATTTAGACGTTAATTCCAATTAATTATAATTGGAATTAATTGTCCCCACCCCCACCCAATTAATAATATATCGCGGACCCTCACCCTACCCCTAAAAAAATTTTAAAAATTGAAAACTTTTCTTAATATTACACCCCACCCCTATGAAATCACCCCAAATTTGTGACTAACTGTGTTATCTGTGATCGGATATTTTTTTCTTTTGTAATTAGATCTCTGGCCAATGTTATTTTGACTATGATTGTCTGTGATCATCTAATTTGTAACTGTATGCAACTAAGTCACTAACATGTGTTATCTGTGACTAATTGTGACCAAATTTTTCCCCAATGTGACTAATTGTGATCAAATGTATCTTCAATGCGATTGTTTGTGAATATGTTAATCTATCTATGACAATATGTGATCAAGTCACAATAAATACATAATTCGTCAGAGAGGAACACCACGAATAAATCTGTACATGTTGTAGACCAGCACCACAATCCACCACCACCTTCAATGCATCACAGCTACCGCCTTCAACTCAAATCCATGACAATGAATTCCCAACTGATATTTAACTAAAACTTTTCTTTGCACCACTACGACCATTAATGCTACCTTCACCTCAAATCCACAACAACAATCATCACCACCATCTTTACTTCCACCAACACCTTCAACAAACACTAACCACCAGCACCACCGACATCACCGTGCCACCACCACCAAATGTAGATTAGCACAATCACACCACCGACACCACACCAATCAAATGTCATGCTACCTCACCCCGTCGCCGCCAATAGCACCGCTACTATCAACACCACCACCACCACCTAACCACCACCAAAATCTCAGCTACCAAGTCCAAAACCAACTCCACCTTCACCACCACAAATGTACTCACCGTTACCACCACCCTAAATTGGTTGATCATAGGAAGGCGCACTGTAGGGATAACCCGGCGATGAAGCAAAATAAGCCAACGACAATGGAGCTCAGTATGGGTTGCCGTATGGTGGTGGTGTTGCAAGGTAGTCTCTACTACCCGGTGGAGGGACTCCGTACGATGCATAAAAGGGATTTGGAGCACGGTAACGCGGCTAGCGCACAGTAACATTCACTTCTAATTTCCCTTGTGGCCGTCCAGAGGGACGCTTGAGCCCGAGCTTCTTCTCCAATCTGTTCCAAAATCCGACGTCTTCTAACACTTCCCGTAGCGGAAACTTAGACGAGCCTATCAGCGGCTTGGTGTCCTCAGCGGCGTTGGCCTGCATGACGTCCACGTAGAGGGTTGATTCCTCCACCGGAGAGTTGAATGGAATAACAAGCTTTTTGTCCCCGTAAGGACACGTGTTATCCTCCTCATCGACTTTGGTAGAGCACTTGGCTTTTGGATCAAACCAAACAACAACATATGTCCTTAGCTTGCCGTGGTGCCAGTTGATGTTCTTCAAGTCCTTGGCAGAAGATATTGTGACCTCTGCTTCGTATCTTGACAACTCAACGCCGGAATATATAGAAGGGGTCGGTTGGGTGAAGAGGGTGATATAGAGAGAGAAGAGATAGGGAGGGAAGAGAGAGAAGAAAGGGTTAGAAATGAAATTGGGTTTTGAACGAAATGGGGAGTGGGTGGGGTTCAATATGTGGATTAAAATGTGGTAATTGGGGCAAATGGTCCATTTCATAATATAGTTTGGGATTTTAGCCTTTGACCATAAT